AGGCATAAAGTTGCAGTTAAAATTGCCTGGTGTAACATAATTATTGGCTTTTCATAGTTTAAATTTCAGCTATTTCTTACATTTTTAAATTTCTATATAACAACAAATTATTGGTAAATGTCTGCATGCTTTCGTTATTTTTAATATACAACTTGTAAATATAAACTGATGGGTATTTTCATGCAATCCACCTCTATAAAAGTTTAGTAAATTATATGCGATACGTACATATTTAGTACTTGACTTTCAAATGATCATGTTTGGTAAACGAGAATGTTAAAAAAACAATCCTTTTATTATCTTCCCATCTGTTAAGCTTCTGGCTAAAATTTTAGTTACTGTACTTGCATTTTGCGTGAATACTAAAATATATTCTCAGCACGATGGGATATAGATTCATGTCTCGCTAATAGGGTTAGCGGTTAGGGTTAGGATTGGGGTTAGCATTATAAATAGCGAGACATGAATCTATAACCGCACGATGACAATGGCAGACCGCTGTACCGCGTGCTAGTTTTGCAGGCGCCACTTGGAGCATGCGCACTACCTTGAATACATTTTCAGCTCGATGACAATTTCAGACCTCCACATCTGTCGTAATGTTGCTATTCCAACACTTCACAACAAGCAATCCCCATTGGCATAACGGCAAAAACATCTCTTCCTTCAAGTAAACAATAAACAGTCTGTTCTTGTTCCATTTAGGCCAGCCCGACAAATAATTTAAGCCAGCCCGACAATTTGGTCATGCTATGCAAATATTTCCCTGTTCATACACCGTGAAAACAATCAATTTGTAAAGAAATGAATAATGATGATTTAAAATTTGCATAGCATGACCAAATTGTCGGGCTGGCTTCCCCACTGAAAAAAGTGATCAATTTTCGAATTTTAAGCTTATCGAGAGCCTTTGTGATGAATCACTGAGCTAATTATAGAATACAACAGCAAACAGCCAATCAGAATGCCGCGTTCGTGGGCGAACGCGGAAAGTACAAAATAGCGGGTCTTGCTTGCAGTCCCACTATTCTTCCCTTGGGCCAATTTCGTACCCAGAGCAATGCATGTGCGCAGGCTAGGAAGGCATTGGCTCTGGGGTAATTGAAAACCGGAACCCCTAAATTTAGGGGTTCCGGTTCTTTGTCGGCATGCACGATTGATAAACGTTAAACCAATCACAGTACAGGAAAAATTCAATTTCCCCAGAGCCAATTTCTTCCTAGCCCGCGCACAGGCATTGATCTGGGTACGAGATTGCCCTTGGGCCTGCACGCGGGCTACATTTTCGGAAGATGGAAGAGGTGTTAAATGGCTATGTAGCTAACCCAAACCCTACCCCTACTCTAACCCCTAACCCTAACTCTAACCCTATTAATAACAAAAATCCAAAAAGGAAGACTTTAGAAAATCGATAGGGCGGTTTGCTGGATGGAAAATAATGCTAACCTGGCGGTTAGGACAAAAGGGCGAGAATGGGCGAAGGAAACATTTTTCTCGCCCTTTTTATCTAATCCGCCATTTATTCAAAAATCCTCAAAACCTTCAATAAAATAAAGCGACTGCTACGTAGGCTATGCCGTGAACTCCATGCATGTGTTTATCCATTTGGTAAAGTAAAATAAATTGAGTTCACTGGCCCAGTACAGTGAGTGATCGTGGTTCAACTGGGGTTCAATGTCACATGCGATCATGTGACTGACGTACGTACGGTGAATATTTCCGACATGATTCACCCCTTTTACAGCCCTTTATCCTATTACCACTGAATGCGAACAAACCATTGAACTTACAGTAAACTGGAATGATAACTCAGGGGGGGGGGGAGGTTGAAGCCGTGTTTTCTAGGTAGTGCCACCCTTTTTGCAAATTCTTTTTGGAAAAATACACTTTTTATATCGATAAACTTTACGGTAAAAACTAACCCCTTTAATTTCCTTTCCCCCTCCGCACTCGTGTTGATATAACTGTATATCAACACGGAAAATGTTTTATGTTTGTCAAATATAATACGTTTGTCACAGTTTACAAGTTATTTACAGATCAACTATATCATAGATATCTTATATACACTAGATAGCGCATCTCTTTTAGTAAAATTGAAGCCAAGAATATTCCAGCGGTGCCCCATTTGAATAGATGGCGGCCATGTTGGAGTTTCCCACTCGCTAATAAACGCTTAAAAAACAACAATAACTTTCATAATTTGAATAGTTTAAAAATGTATTTGGAATAGGTTTAACTTAATGTTTAAGTTCCCTGTTTAAGAAATAGAAAACATACCAATCTTCTCATTTCATGCGAATACTCTGAGCCTGCAATCACGGCTTCAATTTTTGAATTGCAGAATAATTACATGCACTATCTAGTGTACTGTATATAAGATATCTATGAACTATATACGTTTTAAATAAGATCTGAATTAACATTATTTTCTCATTCTGATAACTGGAGGTTGACCATAATCTGAAGACTAAATCAATTACATGCTTGCATGTTTATAAATCACCACCAAATACTTAAAACTTCGAAATGATTTTTAGTTACTTTCATTCAAGGTTGGTGAGCAACCACCATACAAAGAGATACACGTTCGACGAAGCTCACGAAAGAACAGATGACACGCAAAACCAGGTGCTAGGATTAGAGCTATCAGCACAAAAATCAATGTTTCAACAAAGCGCAAATCGATCTTCATCTCAGTACTCTTGTGATAGATCTCGAGGTTTTAACTATGATCTATTTGTCTAATTGGAAATTTAATAATACACTTACTACATACTAGTTTTAGAATATGTAAATAAAGGAAAAATTAATGTGAAAAGATTTAATTGCAGAAATGTTGACTGCATACCAAATAAAGAAACACCAAAATTTATTATATAATTATATGGTTCTATGACGAATTCTGCGCTTGATAAATGGAACAAAGGTGGAATTATCATAATTGATTAATCGTCATCAACAGTCGATGAATCTAGACACGTCCACACAGTGGTTAATGTCTCTTTCCAAGAAGTGGCCACGTGTTCAAGTTTTTATTTGACGGTCAATACGAACGCCAACCTCGTTTCCAGGGTCTTTCTTAGAAAGGCGCGAGGCGAAGGAAAGACCCTGGTTTCGGCTGGTCACGTGTCACCCAGATTCTGAGTGATAAATTAAAATGATACTATGGGCAGGGTGGGAGAGGAGCGTGTTTGTCGCGTTTGTAACAACATTTGCAATTCTGTGTGATGAAATTTAAATTTGCAACAAGAAATCGTGAAGAGAACAGCAATTAAAAATTAATATTTATCGTGATGTGACTTTCTGCTCTATAATCTAGTGTCGAGTTACAATTCAAGCAAGTTGGATCAGATTTCAACTTACAAAGAAAGCACGCCTGGGCGGCGTGGCAATATTAAGCCTACAAGAAAATTCATATCGCTAGACCGACCAATGTGGTTTATATTTTATATTTAACTGTTAGTATTAAAGAATATCCTGATACTCGGACCAAAAGAATATATTTATTGATGAGATGTGGAATTGGAACGAAATAGCGAGATCTTTTGATTTCCGAAATATCGCCAAGACGCCAACTGTATCGAGATTGTTGATTATATTAAACGGCCTTATCCCAAAACTTAAATCCCGTCAAAAGACTATAAAATTTCCTGCAAGATCTCAACGATCATGGTATATGTCAAAGTCTAGCTGTCTGTTGAAAATCTACGGTATTACAGTAAAGTCATACATCAAAGATAAGTCATACGACAATATATTTGTCTTACTGTTTACTACTGTGTTTACACCACATTTATAAATTTTATAAAAAGCTTTCGTTTTGACACAAGCTTTAATTTTCTGCTTTATATATATTCTTAATAATACAAGTGAGATTTAAATTTTTTGCTTTGTGAAATAGAATACCGTTATTTTTTAATGGACAGCTTGTATCGTCTCTATCATATCCAGGATTGCTTGTGTGTAAATAGCCTACATGTATCACTATATATGCCACTATCAAATAAATATAGAAATATAAATGAACTTATTGAACTAGAAATAAACAGATGATTGAGACACAATGAAAACTGTTAGTAGCCTTAGTAGAAGTAGAAAACTCGAAAATTTATGTGTATTCGTATGGCAGTCTGCGCGTCTCGGCGTCTGACACTGTAAATTTCAAAATTTGTGATGTAGATTATAGCCTAGTTGTATGCATATTAGGAAAACATTATCTGACCAAGAAAAAGGCTAAAGCCTTACTATAATTAATGAATACGAATTATGTACTAAATCCAAAATTTTAAAGATAAATCACTGACAGACATTTCTCTGTTTGGCTAGTATCAAATGTTTACATTTGCTGATATTGGGCTCTCTCTAGTCCAAGACAATACAATTATACAATACTGTTTCTTTTAAAAATGTAATAAACAAGACGTGCAAAGCATAGCAACGTTTACAAAAAAGGACAAATCTAATGCTTGTTTTAAAAACATTAGATATGTAGAAATGGTGACCACTGAAAGGCCCATAAACGTTTGTTATAAAACCGCGCTCGATTGAATAAAACAACACGAGAGAGCACTGCGACTAAAGAGAGTATTGAATAAAACAACACGAGAGAGCACTGCGAGTAACGATTTGCTTAATTTCTTGACTTGACTGTTGGTAAAAATGTAAGAATGTTCTTGTAAATTCAATGCAAATAAATTAAACAAAAATTAGCAAGTATTTTGAACTTACTGCTAATAGTTCGCAAAATTTATGTTTTTAACTGTTTGTAATTTGATACTTTCATCACACACCCCCTCGGGCAATCAATTTTGGACGAGGCACGTGACCAGCCGATACTAGGGTCTTTCCTAAAGACCCTGGGAACGAGGTTGTACGAACGCTATAGTGGTAGCAAAAAATCAAAACAAGTCGCGTTTGTCATGTGATCACATCAACAATACCATCTCGTAATTTCTTCAATAAACTTTTTGATCAATAAACTTTTTGATATAGATTTAGACAAGTATGCATGATAGCGACAATAAATTTATTATTTAAAGAACGACGTTTCCAAGTCCGATTTAGATCTTTAACAAATAACATTTCATAGAGTAAACACTCGAACTTTCCCCGACATTTTCTCAACACCTCGAAGTTTTTCCTCGATGTTCTTTGCGTCTTCGCCGTGCTGTTTAAGCATATGTTCCCTGACAACCGATACTTGTGTTCATCAATGCGTTGATTTAAGTGTCGGAAAGTGTAACCGACATAATCTGCGTCGCACAGATCACACTTGAAGAAATAAACAACACATTGCTGATTCGATCACAAGGAGTGGTTTCGTTTCTGCTGCTGGGAAATCTGCGGCAATCTTCCTGCTTGTGTAGACTTGTGTTGCCTACCGATGGTCTCACTGAGGTTACGGAGCTGTCGCCTCACCGAGTTTGCTGAGTTTTTCTGCTGATTTTTTATGAAATGTTATTTATTAAAGATCTTAAACCTAGTTTAAACAAAGAATCGGACTCGATACGCTCAAAACTATTTGCATAACATTCTCTATTAGCATATTTGTTCGTCTATATATAGTGTTGATTTGTTTGTTTAATTCATTTGTTATTCGATTTGCATGTTTAATTATTCTAACTATGTTAATTAAAGGTCTTATAGAGTGCTTAAAATTGCAACTATCATATATGACGAATTAGTTTGCTTGCGCAATTGTTTGCAAACGCTATTCTAGTATTCATATTATTTAATTGTTTTCTGTAATAATTTGAATCAATCAATCAATCAATCAATCAATCAATCAATCAAAACTTTATTTAAAGTGATATGGCAATAAAAATAAACTTTGTCTTATTTGAAAGAAATTTTAAAGTTATATATGAAGACCCTTTGCAACTTTTTTGTACCTTGCTTGGTTTTCGAAATATTTTGAACAAAAACAGTGTGCAGTCCGCCATCTTGGTATTATAATTGACCTAATTAACTGAGTTTTTGAGACGTCACAAGCAGGGTAAACTTGTTAAAAAGTCTTCATGTGGGACTAAATTTCTTCGAAAAGGTTCTTAAAATGTTGTGAGTTAATTGAATACTAAAAAGACTTCGGAAAATCGAGTTTCATATTGATGACATGTGGTTTGCAAGAAAAAAATTCGCATATCCAAGATGGCGGAATGCACGCTGCTTTGATCAAAATAAGTCGATTTATTTCAAAAACCAAGCAAGATACGGAATAATTGTAAAGAAAGTTTATTTATCATTTTAAATGTTCTTTCAAACAAGGCAAACTTAATTTATATTGCCATATCCTCCTTTTAAACACGGTGAAATCTACAGTATAACATTTTACGAGATAATTAACATATAATTACAATTACGCTATGACAATTAATAATTTTAAGAGGGTCCTGAATGGGGGGGGGGGGGGGTATCCCATTTCCCACCTGAAATGTTGGCAAAATCACAGTCCCAGTTGGATTTTTATTAGAAATCCTAGTCCGAGTCTAATCACAGTCCCAGTTCGATTTTTATTAGAAATCTCAGTCAATACAAAACATAGGTCCGCTGTGGCGGGCATCTACTGAATAGAATAGTAGCACTGGGAAATAAAAGTCATTGAGCAGATAAAAGCATAGATGTGCACCCTAGCTGACCTTTGGAATCGATTTCTGGCATTTCCAGAGTCATAACACAACTAGCACAACGTGGAAACGTCGCATTGTTGACGGGATGGCTAGTTTATGTTGTTAGCTCACAGTCGGGCTAGAAATCGGAAATTTTTATATACCGTGATAAAACTAAAAGATACAAATTTGAAGATACAATCTCGAAAATATAAACACTCCACACAGTAGTTATTGATAATGATTGGAACAAGAATATTGCAATGAAGATACGGGGCCGAAGTTATATTTTTGTTCAGACATTGCGTAATTTGATAATCGATCTCGCTTGACTTTCAAAGGCCATAAATCGCCACAATGTTGATAATGACTTAAACTATTGTGAGGAATTAGTTGATATTGTTTTCACTGAATCGAATCATGCGCTGAACCTATCACTGAACCGAAGATATGAACGTACAAAGTCGTCGAGAAAGAGTTCAGACAATTGTGTAATTTGATAACATGCGATCTCCCTTGACTTTCAAAGTTGTTACCAGAGAAGTACCAGGCGGAAAACGAATTCTAATAATAAATATTAAAGCCCAGCAAAGTGCTTTTAAAAGAGCCATAAACCATTAAATTTAAATTTTTTTAATAAAGATTAAGTAACGTTTCGTCTTAACTTAAGACATCTTCAGACTATATTAAATTACAAGCTGTAAGAGTAATTAAGCATAAATTAAAGCTATCATAGCAATATTAAATTACAAGAGAGTATGAGGTACACAAAACGTAAGGATAAGAAAGGGTAGTGAAGGGAAATGACGAACAAAAATGAAAACATACAAATTGGACGACAACAAAAAAGAGAGATCAGAATAGGTGAAGAGGAATTGAACTGCCTTGAACGTTGAGAGAGGGTTTCATTTTAGAGATAAGAAAGCTTTCATGAATAAGGAGTTCTTGGTCATCTGAACAAGAGGAGAGGATTTCAAAGTCGTCAATAGAACCAGTGTGGCCTGTGGATGTAAGAAAAAGCTGGACTGGGGAGGATTTTTACATAGTTTGCCAGTGATAGGAGTGATACCCAGGTGTTCCGAAACTCGGGTGTGTAGATGGCGCAGTTTCTAACAACAGTTAGAAAACAAATGATTAGCAATTATCTCAATGGTTTCATCAACAGGGATGTTAGTAAAGAGTGAAGTAACATCAAAACTAGCCATTATAACATTTACTCGTGTCAAGATCAGAAGAAAGAAGCAGTTCCTGGACGAAAGAGAAGGAATCCTTAATGACATAAGTGCTGGTCGAGATGGGAGCGAGAAGAGGAATAAAGAATTTAGCAATATTATACGAATAATGATTAATGCAAGAGAGGATAGGCCTAAGTGGGATATTACATTTTTGTGTTTTACGTAGTCTATACAGGATGCCTAAGCGTCAACCTGTAGGAAACAGAAACTCCAAACGGAACTCCAGCGCCTACAGACAATGTCAGAATAAACTGTTACAAGATAAAATCAACGCCAAACACGCAAGAATACGAATATTATCAGCGCCAATAACAACAACACACGCGAACCTGGCTTCACTTGTTTCTACGCTTGATTTTATTCACCTACAGTAACTACATATCCGATCGTGAAAATTCAAAGAAATTGAACCAGCAACAACGTGTTGAAGATCGAAAGTTATTTCGCCTAAACGCTGAGTAAAAACACTCAAACACAATAGATCCGAATGCAGTGGTGTTCAATTTCTCAAACCGACTCATCACAGATAAAGAGGAGGAGATTCTTTCGAAAGGTTTGAACTTTGCCATTCCGCCTGCTAAGCTTAATTTGTGCGGTTTCTTTGCGCTATTTGAAAGACTGTTTTCTCAACTTAAACGAGAACCGGTTTACGAACAATCTGGATTTTACCCGGCATTTATTAAGACCCGAATGAAAGACATAGCTCATTCTGGTTTCCGGAGCTATAGTCGGCCGGATTTCTTATACTCCAAAGAAGAGATCAACATGCTAAATGACTTACGAAAAGACAGTAACATCGTGATAATGAGACCTGATAAAGGTAACGGCGTTGTTATCCTAAACAAAGATGCTACAACAAGAAAATGGAAGAAATTCCGTCTGATAACACGAAATTTGAACTCTTGAATGAAGATCCTGTCAAAGCAACACTACAGCGCGAAAATCATGTCAAGACTCTGCTGAAAAATCTGAAAGCGTCTGAATCAATTGATCAAAAAACTTACAATGAACTGTTTCCTACAGGTTCGCGCTTAGGCATCCTGTATGGACTACCTAAGACACATAACATGTAATATCCCACTTAGGCCTATCCTTTCTTGCATTAATCATTATTCGTATAATATTGCTAAATTTTTTATTCCTCTTCTCACTCCCATCTCGACCAGCACTTATGTCATTAAAGATTCCTTCTCTTTCGTCCAGGACCTTCGTTCTTCTGATCTTGATACGAGTAATGTTATAATGGCTAGTTTTGATGTTACTTCACTCTTTACTAACATCCCTGTTGATGAAACGATTGAGATAATTAATAATCGTTTGTTTTCTAACTGTTGTAGGTTTCATGGCCTCACTCGCTCTGATTTTACTAAACTCTTAAGTCTTTCTGTCAAAAATTGTCATTTCGTGTTAAATGGTCGTTTATATCATCAAGTTGACGGCGTAGCTATGGGTAGTCCTTTAGGACCTTTGTTTGCTAAATATTCATGTCCTTTCACGAAAAGGATTGGCTTCACAACTGTCCTGTCACCACTTCTCTATAGACGATATGTTGATGATTGCTTCCTACTTTTCCGTCGTTCAGAGCATGTACAGCTCTTTCTCACATATCTTAATCGCCAGCACACCAACATTCGCTTCACTAGTGAGGTTGAACGTGATAGTAAGCTCCCATTTCTCGACACTGACATATTCCGCTCTAATGGAAAATTTTCTACTTCTGTTTACCGTAAACCTACGTTTACTTGTCATTTTACCAACTTCCATAGCTTCATTCCACTTACATACAAACGCAGCAAAATATCTTGTTTAATACACCGCATCTTTAGCATTTGTTCTAGCTATGAGACTTTCCATCACCAGCTTGAAGCAGCACGAAGAATGTTTATCTTAAATGGTTTCCCTTGTCATATGTTTGACCGATGTGTTAGAACTTTTCTTAACAAAGTATTTCAACCTAAGCTACCTGTTCATACTGTTCCTAAGAAAATAATTTATTTCTGTCTCCCTTTTACGGGCACTCACTCCTTGCAAATCCGCACGCAAATCAACCGTCTTTGTCGTGCTGCTTTCCCACATCTTGATATAAGATTTGTCTTTCGATCAACTAAACGGCTTTCCACCTTTTTCTCTTTTAAGGACAAAATACCCAAAGCTCTGAAGTCGGGTGTAGTGTACTCTTTTACGTGTCGATGCTGTTCCGCATCGTATGTGGGTCAAACCACGTGCCATCTACACACCCGAGTTTCGGAACTCCCTGTGTATCACTATGTAAAAATCCTCCCCAGTCCAGCATTTTCTCACATCTTACATCCCCAATTCACACTGCTTCTATTGACGACTTTGAAATTCTCTCCTCTTGTTCAGATGACCAAGAACTCCTTATTCATGAAAGCTTTCTCATCTCTAAAATGAAACCCTCTCTCAACGTTCAAGGCAGTTCAATTCCTCTTCACCAATTCTGATCTCTCTTTTTTATATTTTGTCTGTGTGTGTTGTCGTCCAATTTGTATGTTTTCATTTTTGTTCGTCACTTCCCTTCACTACCCTTTCTTATCCTTACGTTTTGTGTAACTCATACTCTCTTGTAATTTAATATTGCTATGATAGCTTTAATTTATGCTTAATTACTCTTACAGCTTGTAATTCAATATAGTCTGAAGATGTCTTAAGTTAAGACGAAACGTTACTTAATCTTTATTAAAAAAAAATTAATTTAAAGGTTTATGGCTCTTTTAAAAGCACTTTGCTGGGCTTTAATATTTATTATTAGAATTTGTCTTTCAAAGGCTACAATCGCTACAATGTTGATAATGACTAAAACTATTGTGCACTGAACCGAAGATATGAACATACAAAGTCGTCATCCTCTCGCGCAGTTATACGGCATTCTTCGTATTGCACTCCGCTCGTGTTATTGACAAAACCATTTTATTGAGTACCCGTCGAAGACATGAACTTTTACAAAGTCGTCATCCGCTCACGCAGTTATTATTGTTATTGATTATTGTACTCGTGTTAATATTGAAAAAACATTTTATTGTACTCGCGTGTTATTGATACGATCTCGCTTGATATTGACTAAAACTTTTGTGCACCGAACCGAAGATATGATACAAAGTCGTCATCGTCTCGCGCAGTTATACGGCATTCTTCGTATCGCACTTCGCTCGTGTTATTTACAAAACCATTTATGGGCAACAGCGGAACTAACCGTAGATAACCGACTTTAGCTCGCAATTTCTATGCTCGCAATGCATTACATCGATACGTCATCAATATGTCATCACCTGTCTGTTTGCGACATCGACGGACGTACGTCCTGACAATGCAGCTTCAGATTGAAAATCAGTAGATGCAAAAACGTTATTTATCGGTAGAATAAACAGTTTTGGGACCTTTTAAGCCACCGTATGTGCGCAACGTGTGGCAGAAGCGGTTAATGCTCTGTCTCTTGCCACTGAATTAAGCCCGTTACTACAGGTCGAGGACATGGGATTTACTTCGGACCACTTTGGTTAAGTAACTTGTTTCCGACATGTCCGACATGACGGTATTTTTTGTTGTGCTTTGCCTTTGAGATATATACTAAGGGTCAAATGAAGTATATACTGGAAACCAGGCATATATTCCGCTGTGCATCTGACTTGGGGACACGCATAATCAGAAAACCCAGAATTCCGGCACGTTGGCCAAATTTAGCGAAATTACTCCCACTCGTGCGGGCTCGTATTGTCAGCGAACACCTTACACAAAATGGCCAGTTCTGTGCAAAATGCAGAGCTGCTGCAAAATGCAAAACTTTCAATTTTTTACTGCACGTCCGCTGGAAAATGCGAGTCTGCGGTACTGGGAGAAAATTTGCTGAATATGATCAGCGTGCGGGCGCCAGAGTATGTCTGTTTGCAGGTAGTGCTGTCAATAATATAGTTAACAACAAAAATGATGACCAAAGACACCAAAAACGGATCAAAATTGTATTTTAAAATACTTAAAACGTGGAAAAATTGGGAATCGACTCGCATTACCTCAATCCCATTCCCATTTTTGAGGACTTCATTTCCCATTCCCAGTCCCCAAATCCCAGTCCCAGCAACCCAAATCCCATTTTCCCAGTCTAAAAATAGATCAATCCCAGTTCCCATTTTACCCCTTCAGGACCCTCTTTTAACCAATAATATTTGGTCAACTTAACCTATAAGATTTGGTTGATACAAATATAACCTATTCTTTATAGTTGAAACAACCCATCAATAATGGCGAAGGCCATGAGTCTAAACCAGTCCTTTAAAGTTATTGTAGGTTACATGCGTTTCGTTCAGCCTAAAAAAACGGTTAAAATCAAATAGGTTAAAATCAAATATAGGTTAAAATCAAGATTCGACTCAAAATCAAATTAGTAAATATTAAACAATTTCAGTTATATGGTAAAAATCATAAGTCTTATATAAGATATAAGTAAAATAATCTACGAGATAATTTAGTGCCACTGTGCGACATTGCAAAACAGTAAAGTGGAAGTGGAGGAGAGTTTGATAGCATGCAGTCATATTATAATTATTGTGAAAGAAAAAAGTTCTCCATATACGGAGATTATATACAAGAAACAATGGTTATCTCACACAATTCACTAGCTTGTAAGCTGTATATAGTTTTGAGTTATACTATACACAAACATTCATATGGCAGCAAAAATTTTGAAATATATTGGAAAGCCCTATACCCATTTCCAATACACAGTTTTGGTTGTGTTAATCTAGCTGGTCTCTTCAGTTATAATTCTTTACTGTTTTGCAATTGCGTGCATGAAGCTAAAATGACGCAAGCATATAAGTACATCATGTGGCTTTCATGTGGCCAGGCTTGTGTTAATACCATCACCCTGTTACCAAGAGTAAATTTTAATGGCCCTAAATTCTTGATCGTATTAATATAGAACCACCCTCAGAGATACGAAAAACCAGTTTCATATTATTCTATGAAATAATAATATGAAACTGAATAATATGAAACTGGTTTTTCGTATCTCTGAGGATGGTTCTGAAATAGAATTGAAACACTGCGCGTCCTCTAAGACAAGCGTTAGTCGTCACGAAAGTATTAAGAGGGCGTCTCTGTAAGAGCGGACCACTGGATCTAGGCTTCAAAAATAGATTTCTCTTATATTTCTACCGTCGATACTCTCATCTATCCTAACTACAAAACAGGAGTTAAGATCGTTCTAACGTGGTTTTCACAACCGTTATGCGAGTTTTTGTCCCAGGACCCAAGTTAATTAAAATATGCCAGTTTCTGAAATCGCCGAAGCCTACACTCATAGTCCGCTTTCTCTATTTTCTCTGCGTGTTAGGTTTTTAAATAATGTGCAAAATGTCAGACAATTTGCTTTAGGTTAAGGCTTTAACTATTCATTTTTCCCTAAAAAATCAGCCTTTCGCATTACCTAATTTGCATATTGCTGACATATGCAAATTAGGCAAAGACATGTAAGTTTGCGTGAATAGTTAAAGGGCTTAGACTAATGCAAATTGTCTGCAATTTTGTACAGTAATTAAAAACCCAACAAATGTTCCATCTATTAACTCAAAATATGATTAAAGCTTTTAAATTTTATGCACAAGCCAGCTTTTTGTTTGTTTGAAAAGACATCCCCGGTTCACAAAATTTAGGTTCGGGAAATTTTTTTCTATATTACAAGTACCCATATATGCGAAATTGAGAGCTAAGCACATTCATATCTGTTCAGTTTTTCATTTTATACACCCTGTAGTACCCTTTTGCAAAATTGCGGTGTCCTTCGCTCTGTGCCAAGTTTATCACAGCTACCACGGCAGACGGTCTGGTATGAGCACCCAAGTGTCTCAACGAGGAAAAAATACCGTTGTTCGAATCAGCGTACGAAATTGTACTTACGGATGCCAAATTCATTACTAAATAGCAGTAGTCTAGCGATTTATAGCCTTTGAAAGTCAAGCGAAGTTGTATTGTTGACAAGTGACAAATCGCTCAAAATTATTAGAACTAATTAAAAATGCAGTAGGTTTGATCCTTGATAACTTTCCTGTCGTTTGTTTTCTCTTTTTCGGCCGTATACGAATGGATTCGTCTCACTTTTCTCTTAATCTTGATAGTATTTTGATCAGACAATAGTTTATTTTCAAGGTTTTAAAGCGAAGTTATAACCAAGCGTGGGAACAACTGCCAGCCAACAGTAGGAATGTAGCGTACTACAAAATATATCCTTTGCTTGTAGCACAGCTCGTAGGCGGAAACGCCGGAAAGTTTTATTTGTAAAGCACCGCATTTTAGTACTGTGTCTGGTTTATTCTGTTCTTATAAAAGCATGGTTCTTTTATCGAGTTTATATGCCATGACAATTGTTCCTGTGCATCGCTGTCTTTGTATTTCTGTCTTTGTTGGGCTATAATTTGTCATTTTGACTGCTTAACAGGATTTATTTGCCATCAAATACGAATCAGACAAAGGACATTTAGGAATAGGTCTTCAACGTGCTGTTGATTTTTCGGCAATAATAGCGAGGCTAATAAACAAAACAAAACAACAGCTTTAATATTGGATTCTTGTGTCATGCACACGCAGAAATATAGCTAAAAAATGCAAAAATTGTCAACTTCCTGAATTCTTAGAAATACCATGTGCCGCAAATTTTATTGTGTAGATGTATGGAATAGCATCCTACTTCAAAGTTAAAAAGCGATTTAGAACCTGGGCGCAGGTGCCACAAATGAGAATTCTGCAATGTTTTAGGGCCTATAATTCTCGAATTTGATATCATGCGTTGAAGGGTCTCGATTAGTATTTTTTTTTTATTTGCCAGGTGCAACTAAACAGCTATATATTACTATTTCTTAGTAGAAAGAGCACTCTAGTGCAGCTCAGACCTGAAAACGAAGCTCTGATTCGCAGAGAAAATTGAGAAAGCGGACTGTGATTGTAGGCTCCGGCTATTCCAGAAACTGGCATATTTTAATTAACTTGGGTCCTGGGACAAAAACTCGCATAGCGGTTGTAAAAACCACGTTAGAACGATCTTAACTCCGGTTTCGTAGTTAGGATAGATGAGAGTATCGACGGTAAAAGTATAAGAGAAATCTATTTTTGAAGCCCAGATCCAGTGGTCCGCTCTTACAGAGACGCCCTCTTAATATAGCTAGGGTCCACTATGTAGGCTACATATATCAGTCATGCATGTTGGGGGCAATACAGGTGAATCAAATGTAATTATTGACAAACGTGAATATATATCTATCCTATTGTCCTATCTACATTATGTTGGGTGAAATTCAGTGGAATGACACACACATAGACCAAGTCTATAAATGGGATCAACATACATATCTATCCTTACCTTATCCCAGGTCTGTAATAATTCCACGACTATAGTATGTCCTGCGTCGGTTGCCAATTCAAGTACCGTTTTACCGTCCTAAAACAAAATGTTACAACTATAAAAGACTTGATAGGCTTTATTTTAATTGCCATTTTGTAGTAACAAGTAAGCATGTCAGAACATGTTAATGGAAACACTTAATACACGCACCTTCAATATTTGCTAATTTTCAACTGCATAATTTTTTACGGTTTATTTAATTGCGTGCATAAAGTTAATATGAGGCATGCATACAAGTATCCACGCACCTTTATATGCCCAAGCCTGTGTTAATACCATCACCCCGTTACCACGAGTAAATTTTTATGGCTTTAAAAACTCTTGACCGTGTTAATATATGGTTCCATTATGTACATAGATCAGTCATGTTGTTGGGTGCAATACAGGTGACACGGATGTAATGATAGACTACATCTGACAAACGTACATATATCTATCCTATTGCCTGTCTACTGTACGTTATGTTGCATGAAATTCAGTGGGATGACATGCATACACATAGAGCAAGTCTATACAAGGGGCCAACATACATACATATCTAGAGTTTGACTAATGGTCGCGGGTCGCGTGTCGCGGGTAAAAAGTCGCGGGTAAAAAGTCGCGGGTAAAAAGTCGCGGGTCGCGGGTAAAATGTCGCGGGTCGCGGGTAAAATGTCGCGGGTAAAATGTCGCGGGTCGCGGGTAAAAAGTCGCGGATCGTAAAAAGTTCTAAACAGTGTATTTTATTGAGTCGCGCGTTGAATAAAGTGTGTAAAAATCATATTAACATTTAGTCATGGTTTTATCAATAGTTGTTCGAAGAAGTTATGGCTGTAATTGCGAGTTTCTAGATAAATATAGACAAGAACCATATAACATTATTGTAAAGCACGTTGATAGACTGTAATGCAAAAGGATCCTGTTACACATTCCTATGTTTATAGTCCTGATTTTAGTAATACATATTACCATCCAATTTCTACCATATCAGGCGTAAAAATCCGCTATTCGTCAAGTCTCTGCGCATCGATCAGTACATTCCAGAAACAAGTGCTAGAGAACAGCGACTTAAATATCCGGGTTGTTGGTGAATCATAATGTACTTTTATAATGTCCTAGCATGGATATATCTATTATTTGTGATACTATATGGTTGTTTTTAAATTGGTATAAAACTGATTGTAATAGTAGTGGTAAACTGAATTTATTTCTACCAAAGTCTAGTTTGTTTCTTTCAGAACATATGTTTTTATTAGAGGATTTTTGTCATGGTACAATTGTTGGTTTAACATATTGAAATTATTCTTTCAAGTTTTAGGCTTCTGGCACGTTTATATAGAACCATTAAATCATGACAAAAGGCTCTTGGGCAACATTTCGTATTGAAGCAATCTTATATAGTTGTTTACTAAATGATAACGTGATTTTACACACTTTATTCAACCCGGGACTCAATAAAATACACGGTTTGGAGCTCTTTTACGACCCGTGACTTTTTACCCGCGACATTTTATCCGCGACATTCTACCCGCGACACGCGACTTTTTATCCGCGACACGCGACCATTAGTCAAACTTATTAAATCAAGACAAAAGGCTCTTGGGAAATATTTCGTATTGAAATATTTCGTATTGAAGCAATCCTATAGTTGTTTACTAAATGATAACGTGATTTTTACACACTTTATTCAACCCGCGACTCAATAAAATACATGGTTTGGAGCTTTTTTACGACCCGCGACTTTTTACCCGCGACATTTCACCCGCGACCCGCGACATTCTACACGCGACTTTTTACCCGCGACACGCGACCATTAGTCAAACTCACATATCTATCCTCACCTTATCCCTGGCATTCAGGTGTGCATCATATTTCATCGAATACTTCACGGTGTCAGCAACTCCACCGACAGCTGCCAAATGAATAACCGCTCTTTGCCACTACAAAAAAAATGTACAACTATATGAAAAGCTTTAATAGACTTTATTTCAACTGCAATTTTGCAATGACAAGCAGATTAAAATAAGTCAATTGGCACGCACCCTTGAAACTCGTACCTTCCATATTTTGCCAATTAGGCCTATATGCCAATGACTCGATTTAGAAACAACACATCAACGTAGTCAATATATATATATATATAGTGAACATCTCCACACAAGAGCATACGATTAAAATGAATTCTTCTAGAGTTATTAACACCTTGTTCGGCTTCTTTGGCCGAAAGAAAAACAAATTAATTTGGACAGGAACACTTGGAGATCTTAAAGCTTTCGTTCTGACGATAATTGATGAGCAAGCAGCCCAAAGTTCGAAATGGCATTCACCTAGCGGCGGAAAGTGGTGCTTCAATAGCGAGCAGCTAAAAGTTGAGTGGCACTCAAAGAGCGAATCTATATCCTTTGATGGAGCCAAAGCCAATGATTTATGTGATCAAATACATAGTGTCCTTTTAAAATCTGATTATCAAAAGAAAAATCAAAACAGCGACCTTAACAAGTCATTAGAATCCTTCATAGCTGACGCGAGCGTCGAAGCGTGCAATATTAATTTGAACGAATCGCCTAGATTATATACTTCTTTACTGCAAGTCAGTAATGTATCCTGCCTAAATAGCAAAGATATCAATTGTGATGAAATCCCCAGTAATCCTGAATTTGAAATGGCAAATTCTAAATCTGGTGCAGGCGAGAATCAATTATCCCCTCTCATTCAACACACAGACGAACGGCG